ACATGAGTGGGGGAGGGTCAGAGGGAGAAGCAGGCTCCTCGCTGAGCAGGGAGCCCGATGCGGGACTCCATCCCGGGACTCCGGGATCATGACCTGAGCCGAAGGCAGTCGCTTAACCAACTGAGCCACCCAGGCGCCCATCTTTTTTTATTTTTTTTAAAGAGTTTATTTATTTATTTGAGAGAGAGAAAGCGAGAGAGAGCAAGAGCAGGGGCAGGAGAGAGGGAGAAGCAGGCTTCCCGCCGAGCAGGGAGCCTGATGCGGGGCTCCATCCCAGGACCCTGAGATCATGACCTGAGCCAAAGGCAGACGCTTAACCAACTGAGCCACCTAGGCACTCCTTTTTTTTTTTTTAAGACAATATTTTTTAAAAGGGCAAATTCTTTAGAGCAGTTTTGTGTTTACAACAAAATTAGGAGTAAGGTACAGAGATTTTCCTTATACTCTTTGCCCCCACACATAGATAGCCTCCCTATTATTAACGTTTATTTACCAGAATGGTACTTTTTTTTAACCAAAGGTGAAACTACTTTGACACGTCATAATCATCCAAAGTCTATAGATTACCTTAGGGTTCTCTCATGGTGTACATTCTGTGGGTTTAGACCAATGTAGAATGACCTATGGCCATCATTATAATAGCATACAGAGTATTTTCACTGCCCTAAAAATCTCTCCACCCCACCCCTGGAAACCACTCCTTTTTTTTTTTTTTTTAATTATCTCCATAGTTTTCTCTTCCATAATTTCGTATCATTGGAATCAAACAGTATGTAGCCTTCTCAGATTGGCTTCTTTTACCTAACAATATGCATTTAAGCTTTCTCCATGACTTTTCATGGTTTGATAGTTCATTCCTTTTTAGCTCTGGATACTATTCCATTGTCTGGATGTACCTTTATTTTATTTTATTTTTTTAAAGATTTTATTTATTTATTTATTTATTTATTTTAAATATTTTATTTATTTATTTGTCAGAGAGAGAGAGCACAAGCGGGGGGAGAGGCAAGCAGAGGGAGAAGCAGGCTCCCTGCTGAGCGAAGAGCCTGATGTAGGACTCCATCCCAGGACCACTGGGATCATGACCTGAGCCCAAGGCAGATGCTTAACCGTCTGAGCCACCCAGTGTCCCAAGATTTTATTTATTTATTTGAGAGAGAGTGAGAGAGCACAAACAGGGGGAGTGGCAGAGGGAGAGAGAGAAGCACGCACCCCGCTGAGCAGGGAGCCTGATGCAGGGTCTCGATCCCAGGGTCCTGGGATCATGACCCGCCGAAGGCAGATAGATGCTCAACCAACTGAGCCACCCAGGTGCCCCTTGCTAACATTTTTAAAGGATTTTTGCATCTGTGTTCTTAAGTGAAGCTGGCCTATCATTTTTCTTTCTCATACTCTTTTTTCCAATTCTGGTATCAAAGTTATCTCCGCCACAGAAAAGGAGATGTCGGTGAAGCTTTATTCTCTTTCTATTCATGAAACAGTTCAAGACAGGAGTTACCTGTTTCTTGAATTTTGGTAAAACATCTGGAAAATATCCAAGTTCTGATGTTTTAATTTAGGTCAAATTCTTAAGTGGTTATAGGTCTATTTGTGTTTTGTATTTTTTTCTGAAGCTAATACTGATCAATTTTAGATTTATAAAACAGATGTCTATTCCATACAAGTTTAAAATGTATTAGCATAGAGTCATTCAGAGCATTCCTTTATGATCCTTTTCATTTCCATTGTGTCTGTTCTTATGTCCCTTTTTAAAAATTTCTTTTTTCCCCCTTCATTAACCTTAACGTTATCTATTAGTCTTTTCAAAGAGTTAACTTTTGATTTTGTTGTTAACTTCTGTTGTTTTTGTTGTTGTTGTTGTTCTAGTTCATTTTTTTAAAATCTACTTGAGTTGAGAATTTGGTTCAAGTTATTTCAAGGCTATAATTTTCTCTCTAATTTCCACTTTGACACTATCTACAAGTTTTGGCATGCAGAGTTTTAGTTGTTCATTTATAAATATTTGGGTTTTTTCAGTTATAAATATGTATAATTGATGTTATAATCTCTTCTTTAATGCATTAATTATTTGGAGATGTTTTCCCACTCTGACTAGCCTTTATTATTAAATTCTAATTTCATGAGTTCTGTGGGATAGTGTTTCTTCATTATTTTTTGAGTCTTTTTTTACATGATAGAATAGGTTGATATTTATAAGCATTCCATATATACATGAAGAGAATATATATTCTCCATTTGCTACATTCAGAATTCTACAGGGGTTCTTTATATTAACTAATAGTTAATACTATTATCTAGTCTTCCATATCTTCTTTATCCTTACTAGTTTTTTTTTTCTTATTCCATCTCAAATGTGTTAAAATCTAGTATAATTGGGGATTTGTCAATTTTTGCTTAATGCATTCTAGGCTATATCAAGTTCAGTAATATCTTTTCCTGCGAAGTTCACCCACTTTTCTTAATCCTCTTTTCTTTAAAGCTTTCTTCATTTAGTATGAACATTGTTATACCAGCTGCTTTTTGGTTAGTATCTACTTATTACTGTATATTTCTATCTATACATTTACTATTACCTATTTCATTTTTAAAGGTGTAAATAGAATATGTAGCTGAATTTTTTAAAAGACTTTTTTTTTTAATTTTAGAGAGAGCACTTGTGAGTGGGGGGAGGGGAAGAGGGAGAGAGAATCCCAAGCAGACTCTGAGCTTAGTGCTGAGCCCATGCAGGGGCTTGATCTCACGACCCTGAGATCATGACCTGAGCAGAAATCAAAAGTCAGACACTTAACCAACTGAGCCACCCAGGTCCCCCGGATATGGAGCTGAATTTTTCTTTTTTTTTTTTTAAAGATTTTTTTTTTTTTTTTTTATTCATGAGAGACAGAGCAAGAGAGAAAGGCAGAGGGAGAAGCAGGCTCCCAAGGAGCAGGGAGCCCGATGCGGGACTCG